CGGGTGGGGCGGAGAGAGAGAAGCGCGCGTCATTCGGCGGCCATTGGCGAAGCCCTCCCGGGAAGAGGAGGCGGATGATGATTGGAGAGAGAGAGGTGTCACTCAGGGGACGCAGTTGCAGCTCTGGGAACAGATTGGCTGAACGTCAACGGCGCCCACCACAGGAAGAGACCCTCCTTTTGCGGCATCTGATTGGGTGGAGAGCTGCCACTCCGCTGCAGAGCCGGGTACTGATAGGGGCATTCCGTAGGGGTGGGGCCGAGCAGCAGTTTATAAGGGGGTGCTTGGGCGGGGGCTCTATTGCGAGTTTAGGCCCCTTCTGCCGGGGGCCTGGGCGCTGCTGCGGCCTGGCTGAGGTGTCCTGTGAGAAGCAGTTACGTGTTTAGGGCAGCCCTCCCCGCTCTTTCCACAGCCTGGGCCTGTGTTTGCGGTGGCCTCAGTAAAGTCTCCCAAGCACCTCCGTGTCCGGTGTTGGTCAATCCCGGTGTTGTGGGGCGGGTGATGCAAGCTCTGGTGCTGTGCCTGGTCTGGCCGGTCGCTGCTGCCATGGAGGTTTGTGGTTTCCTCATCCCCCGGCGCTCTTGGCGGTGGGGGGTGCAGCACGGCCAGCCTCCTCATGCTGGGGCTGAGCCCAGCTCCCTGCTGGTTCTGTGTAAAACTGCCCGTTAACCCTCATGCCCATCAGCACGTTGTGCCTGCCCTGCTTTCTGCTCTTTCCTGTGTTTGGGCGTGGATGCCACCTCTGTCTTCTGACAGCTCCTATCTTTGTCTCTACCCCATGGGTGATGCCTCCTTCCAGCCTTGCGTGCAGCAGCTGGTGGCAGTGGGGCTGCCCCCGCTGTGAGGTCGGTGGTGGCCAGGACAAGGAGGAGCATGTGGTGCTGGGCAGGTCCTTCCACTGGCCCCTGCCAATGGCAACCTGCTGGTGGGGACCAGCCTGGACCCCGAAGTGCTGCTCATCTGGGCTGTGCTATTGAGCAGGAGGGAAGGGGTTCATGCCCTCAGGCTGTAGTGAGACTGATAATAACACAAATTATGCCAAGCACTCACTGCCCATGCAGTCGGTACTGACTGAGGTCTGCCGTGCCCTTCAGCATCCACTGAAGATCAGGCATCTCATCTTCTGGTTACAAACCCACAGTGATAGCAAGGAGGAGGATGCTTTGCCCTGCTGTTCCTCGGAGGTGATCTCCTGTGTCACTCTTCCATGAAGGATGAGTTCAGACTGTGAGCTTTCTTCTTTTAGAGCTTCTTTCCTTTTAAAGGTGGCACATGCTTATTTTGAGCTTCAAATGCAATGACTTTGTTTCCATGCATTTGCATGCCTTACCCTTAGGTTGCTACTTTCTGTTTCCTCCCATCTGTCATTTGCAGCACCATTCCCACCACCAGCAAGAGTCATTGGCCACAGGGTGTTGCCAGAGCAGCGCGAGTGTCCGGAGGGGTCTTGGTGTCTCCAACAGAGCTGGAGCAGCCCAGGTGGTGTAACCAGGACTCTGCTTTTTAGCTCTGTGGAGGAGATGTAGCTGGAGAGGGAAGGGAGCAGGCTCCAAACCCAAGCCTATCAGGGGCGTAATTAAAAATAATCTTGAGGAATTGGAGAAAAAGCCTGAAAATGCAGGATGCAAATCCAGATGGATGAGTGCAGGTGCTGCAGTTGGGCAGGAGTAATCAGCACTTTGATGGGAGATGCTTTCCCAGCAGTACTGGGGTCATGGCAGTTTGCAAGTGGGGCAGGACTAAGGGTCACGCTGTGGCAGATTGGATGGACTTTGTACAAACATGGAATGGAGAGGACTGCTGTGGAGAGACAGAGCGACCTGGTTGACCCATCTGCTGCAGGCAGGATGGTATGGTGGATGGTGATGCAGCAGGAGATGTTTGGTAGGTGAGCTCTCCCCAGAGCACCCCAGCACCCTGGTAATGCCTGGGGTGAAGGGGGGGACCTGGTCCTTGTGGACCCTGTCCAGCCCTTGGGATATGAAGTTTCAGACATCAGACTGAAGCTTCCTTCAGTGGCTCGGATGTTGCCCCGATGCCAGCACAGGGTGGATGTGCTGGTTACTTCTTTCCCAAGCAGGGAGGTCCCTGCGTGTCCCCACTCCAGCTGGTCCCTGTCCCCTCCTGCCCTGCAGCATCCTGGAGCTGTGCACTCATGCCTAGGAGGAGGAACAGTGCCTCGACCCCAGCAAGGGTGAGGGCAGGGCTGGGCAAAGATGAGGGCAGGGCACACTAGCCAGGGCACTGCAGGGCCCCGAGGTGCTGCCCACAGGGATGATGCCCTTTGGGGAGAGCTTTTCTCCCCAGCCGAGCTGGCCTGGCCAAGTCTGCATCAGGCGCCCTCATGTCCCTGGGTATTTTTAGAAGCAAAATGCTGTATAACTGCAAAAAGGCAAAATGCGGCCACAGGAGGGGAAGCCAGGCGGCAGCGATAGGGCAGCTCCTTCCGCAGACAGTGCCAGCACAGCTTCAACCGCTGGGTCCGGCTGCCTCTAGGGGGACAGTCCTGCACCCCCATCCTGGCATGATGCCACTGGGAGCCTCCGCTGACCCCAAAGCTCATGCCATGACCCTCCACACATGGGGCCAGTGTACACAGGGGGTGGCTCAGGCATCCTCACTGCTGTGAGTACCCCAATCCCTTCCAGCTCCTTGGACCCCACGTCTGAGCTGCACCCACCCCAGCAGGGGCTGGCGGAGGCCAGCGTTCTTTGGGCTCCAGCTCCCAGGCGCCGGTGGCTGTTTTTAGCCAAGTGAAAGTCCGATGTTTTGAGATTTTCTATTTTGAGCAGCAAAGCTGGAGAAGTGGAGCAGCCCCTGACCCCTGGGTGACTGTGCAGAGCAGTGCAGGGAGCTGAGCAGGGCAGGCACAGGGCGGCTGCTGCCCCTGGGGGAATGTGGTTGCCCCTGGGTCTTCACCCTACAGTTGCCCCCATGGCCCCTCACACCTCAGGCTGTGACACAGCTTGTTCCCACGCAGCCCCATCTCCCACACTCTCCCAAGGGAGGACAGCCTTTCTGGCACTGGCATGTCATTCCTCCTTTCCTTTTTGTAGCAAGATCCTGGTGAAGCCCCTGAGCAGAATGTGGGGTGTCCACCCCAGCCCCACACCCCTTATACCACACAGTGTGGTATGTATGTGCTCCCACAGAGCCCCCATGGGTGGCACAGCTACGTGCTGATGGGCAGCCAGAGGTGACAGCCCCACCAGAGACACAGGGTTCAGACTGGGATGCTGCGGTGGCATGGCCAGCTCAACCTGGGGCTGGTGACACTGTCACATGAGGGGTTTTGTTCCCCTGTGCAGCAGCTGTGGGGTCCATCCCCTGTGCAAGAGGATGCTGGGGCTCACAGGTAGGCAGAGGAGGTGCCATGGTGAGTTGTCAGCACCAACGGGTCATTCATGCTGCAAGGGGAACAGGTGGGGTGACCTGGGTGACAACGGGTGCCGGCACTGGGTATCACTTGCTGGGCTCCCAGGAGGCAGATGCCAGCCTTGAGCACAGGCTGTGGCCTCATTTTATTCAACCTCGCATTTCCAAAAGTACCTCGAGATGCCCTCCAGCACTGCAGTCCGGGGCGGGGG